GATGAACACTAGATGGAGGAGATTCTCGGATAGGAAGAAGGCTTAAGCCTTGGATGGAAGCATCCAAGCTTAAGGTGCAAGGGAAAGCTCACTTCAAAGAGGAGGAAATCCTAGAAGGGTTCCTAAGGTGAAGCTTTCTCTCATGGTGACTCTTGAACGAAATTTGGCTGAATAAGCTCTCAAATTTCATTATTCTCAAAAGTGAATACAAAGAGTGGAAGAATCACTTAAGTAGGGTTCCAAGTGTGCAACTTTGGGCGCCTAAATCCAAGGCTACATGTGGCGCCCAAAATTTGAATTCAAACTTGAAATTTGAATTCAAATTTTGGCTCCCATGTGCTAGTCCGAAAATTTAGGTGCCTAGATGCATTTAGGTTTGATTTGAGAGTTATTTAGGGTTAATTTGAGTGGCACATGTTCAGCCACCCATGGTGCTAAACATGTGACTCAAATGTAACTTAAATGACTTCCAAATTAAACCTAGTTTAACCTATTTTACCTATTTTAGTATTTCTTGTATATTCCTAATCTAATGACCTAAATACAATGGTCAAACAAATACAATGGAAAGGAAAAATTACAAGAATGAAAATGAGCCCAATATTGGGTACCAAAAGCCCAAAGGCCCATGATGCCCAAAACTAGGCCCAACAAGCCTAAAACCTAAAATGCTACTCTATGTGGTCCAAAATACAAGACCAAAATATATGATACCTATACTAACATGATGTATACAAAACATATGAAAATAGCTATAACAAAATATGGCCCATGAAAAGTTCAACTTGGCCTTCCTAGGCCCATTGGGCCCGATGGGCCCTGACTGGCCCAAACCTTCATGTCTAGCCAACTCCTCTTGGATCTTTGAGTATGTCACCTCTTGCACTCCAAAGCATGATTCCATCAGATAATCTTGACCTCATCAAGTTCAGGCTCCCCTAAGCTCAACAATACTCAAGGACTACCAAAAGCATTTTTTACACTTCTGACTTCATTTTCTTCTACACTTTCTAAAGACCAAGGAGAACCAAGAGAAGGAAACTAGCAAGATTCTGCTCTAGCTTCATCTTCTGCTTATCAAGGTAAGGGGGGGAGTGAGAAACCTCGCTCAGGGTGTGGGAATAATTATTCGGTAGTAGGATTGGCCTCCAATCCCTTGCTTGATAGGAATATACACTTTATGAAAGTTTTCTGTTTTTCTTTTTGAATGTTCTATTGCGTTCCTTGTGTGATGTTGAGTGTAAATATGTGTTTAATTTTGAAAATAAACAAGTTTTGATATAAATTAGAGTGCTCAGTGGGTTTCTGAGAGAATCCTATGAGAAACGGGCAAATTTCTAATGTTTTCTGTTTTACTTTCTAGGTTTTCTATTGTGTTTCCTGATGATTACTGAGCATGAATGTATATTTAATTTTGAGTTTTGAATATGTTTTGATAGGAATTAGAGTGCTCTATGGAGATTATGTGAATATGATGAGACAATGTGAAAAGTGAATATGAGATATGAAATATGATGATATGTGATAATGAGACATGATATATGAGTAACTATGACAAGTAAAATGATGAGTCCATGAAGTGTGAACGTGTGTGACATGCATCATGTGCATCTATGTGAAGGGTACGATATGGAGTACACCGTTAGGGAAGACCCTCCTTGTGTAACAGCTTGGGGGAGTCCTAAGGGATAGTGCGGTTTGGATGTCTCGATTTCGCCCATTTGTGAGCACGAGACATAACTTGCATAGCTTCTCCGTCCCGACCAGACCCTAGCAGTACATCCTTCTAGTTGAAAGTGTATGGGTAGCTCCCTACATGTACTCCTAGACTACCTTAGGTGTGTTGTTTAGGTAGCACACCATTGATATGTGATATGTGATTGGCTCCACATGCATGCATTTGTGAGTCGAGTCTCTGACACATTGCATGATAAACGAGTGTGCTTGTGATACTGATTGTGTATGTGTATTGTTTACATGTGATTTGTGCTTGTGACTTGTATTATGTTTGTTGTGTGTGTGTGCTGTCTAACCTTTATTTCTGCACCTGAACTTGAGTGAGATGTTTCTCACTCCCTTGTTGTTCTATGTGTATTTTATTGTGTTGTAAGTGATCATCAACATAAGGATGTTGGTGATGAGGCTTAGGCTTTAGTTGGGCGTGCTATGATAGGATATGTGACATCAGGGGGTAGCTAGGCTTAGTTTAGGATTTCATTATTGTTATTTTGTTTTGGAAAACTAATGTTTCATTTTCTTATAAATTCTACATTTGACCATGATTTCAGTTTACAAATGTGAATTCTCTACTTTAATGTTAGTGGAACCATTGCTTTAATTCTAAAGATTTTATTTAACTTGAGAATATGTTTTTATAATTATTATATATGTATGTTGGGGTAGAGGGTGTCACATTGATGAGTCATTATTTTCCCTTATTTTCTTACCTTTCTGTACTTATTTTAATCTCTGATTTGTGCTTAATTGTTGATATTCTGCATTGTTTTCTATTTGGGCTTTAATTGGACTGGTAATTCATATTTTAACTAATTTGAATTTTCTGAATCTAATTATTCCAAATTTTATTTTCAGGGCAGTTTAATAATTATTTGGGTTTGGAATTAATTTTTGGACTTCAAGAGGAGCTACCACGTCATCTGCCATGTCACTGCTGCACCATTTTCCACCTTAGCATTTAATTTCATTTTATATTCTATTTTTATTGTATTTCGGGTTAAACCTGACTTGGGGACCCATATTGACTTTTTTAGGGTTTTTTAGGGTCCTAGGGAAGCCACCAAAAAAGAGTATCTGATGTGACCACATTGGCTGTCTCTGTTCTCTTTGTTTTTACGTTTTTTTCTCTCTTCTCTTTGTTTTTACGTTTTGCTCTCTATAGCTACAGTTCACGTTTTGCTCTCCTCTCCTCTTATATGCATTTTCGTTTTGTATTTGAACCCTTGCATTGAAGAATACAGATTGTTCATTTTCGTTTTGCTCTCCTCTCCTCTCCTTGCATTTTCGTTTCTGTATCTGCTTTTGTTTTAATGGAAGGCTAAAATCTCTTGGGTTGGCTTCTTGTTATGGATTGTAATCTCTGTTTGAGGTTGGGTATGTTTGTATATCTCTGTTCTGCTTTGTTCTTCTTCATTTAACCTCTGTACTGTATGAATGTGTCCATGCTTAATGGGCTATGCTCAATGCCACAGTTGCTTAATCTGTGAAGAGGTTGTGTAGGGAAATCTTGAGTTAATATTTGATTAGTTGGTTAACTCAGATGGAACAAAGATTAAGTGGTTAATAGAGTAATGTTATTGTGAACCAAGGATAAGAGAGTTACAATCTGAACAAGGAGCTAATCCATTTTTTTCATTTGTTGTGCTACCTGCATTTTATTGTGTTATAAACTAAAAAATCTGAAACAAAACCCCCCCCCACTTCGTGTTTAAGCCTTTGACAGAGAAAAATGGTCCTTGGGAGACAACCTAGGACAACTTCCTAGTACTGCATTTAATTGTTTTTATTTGACCGGATACGGCTTCGATCACACATTCAGTGGTATCAGAGCCTAGTTTATTCAAACCGAACGTGTGTGT